GGAAATTCTGGAGAGAACTTTTCAAGCTCTTGGGGACAGACTTGAACTTCTCAACAAGCTTTCATCCTTAGAGCGATGGACAAACAGAGCGAATCAACGCTTTATTAGAGCTCTACCTTCGATACTATGTGAGCGCAAATCAACGAGATTGGGCTAAGTTGCTTGATGTGGCCCAATTCTCTTACAACTTGTAGCGAAGCGAGTCGACAGGCAAGAGCCCTTTTGAGATAGTTACCGGACAACAACCTCTAACCCCCAACACACTTGCCACACCATACAAGGGAGACAATCTAGCTGCCTATAAGTTTACCAAGGAATGGCAAGAAGAAGCCGACATTACTCGTGCATGCCTGGATAAAGCTTCCCGAAAAATGAAGAAGTGGGCAGACAAGAAGCGGCACCCCATTGAGTTTCAAGTAGGTGACTTGGTCATGGTTAAGTTATTGCCGAATCAATTCAAGTCACTACGCAAAGTCCACAAAGGCTTGGTCAGGAGATATGAAGGCCCTTTCCCTATCATCAAACGTGTGGGAAAGGTTGCGTACCAGGTACAACTCCCTCCCAAGCTTAAGATTCATCCTGTCGTCCATGTTAGTCTCTTGAAGAAATACTATAGAGATGAAGAAGATCCATCTCGAGGTATCTCTAAGAGAGCACCGACAGCGGTCATCACCGAGTACAACAAGGAGATAGAAGAGATCCTCGCCGACAGGGTGATCAGGAAGAGAGGAGTTCCCAACTACACCGAGTACTTAATCAAGTGGAAGGGTCAACCAGACTTTGAAGCTAGTTGGGAACGTGAAGACCTCCTGTGGCAATTCACTGACCAAATCCAACGCTACAAGGAGGAAGGCGCGACGAGGGCGTCACGAAATCAAGTGGGGAAGAATGTCACGTTTGGTCATTTTTCACAAGGTTAAAGAGGTCCGGAATGCTCCAGAACCCTCCAGAAGACTCCCAGCTAACCTTAAGAGTGCTAGAGAGTGCAAGAACATTCTAGAGAAGCCTACACAACTCTAGCCTCAATATTTTAATATTGTCTCTAGATTTTTCTATTAAAATATCTAGATATTTGTTAAGAGAATTCTAGAGAATCAATTGTAACGTAGGATAGATTTAATCTCCACCGTCCATTAAGGAGGTGGGAACATTCTAGATCCAAGGGGAGGCCTATAAATATCTCACCCCTCCTCATTTGTAAATCATCCTTGAGTTCTCAAAGCTATAGAACTCTCACATTCTCCAAACTCTCTCTACTCTCCTTTGCCTTCAAGCTTTCCCTTTCCTCTTCTTAGCCAAGCATCCTCCTTTCATACGAGTTAGGCTTACTTAGCAACTTCCAGTGAAGGTTGTCTAAGTGCCGTACGGGTCGAAAGACTAGCCCCGTGACATCAGGACAAAAAAAAGGGGGGTAATTCTGAAATTATGATGGTGGGTTGTTACTGACGCGGTTGTATTTTATTTTCCAATTTCCAACATAATGAGGTGAAATTAAGGATTTGTTTGAGTAATTTTTAGAAGTACATTCCAAATACATTTGTAATGTGCTTTTATTAAACATAACAAGTAGTTGAATCTCTTAAATGGATTTTGTTCAGTGTGTGTTTAATTTTTAATTTATATCTGATAAAATTATATTTAAAAGATCCAACTGCTTGTGAGATTTAGTAAAAACACATATCAAATATAAATAGAATGTACACTTAAAGTTACGGAAACAAGATGAATTGAGAATGAGGGTGAAGTAATTGGTGGAATGTGTTTGAAGAAGTTGCGTGAGGGAGAGCGACAATGAAAGGAGTGGGATTGAATTTGAAATGAATGGAGTTTTTTTTTTTTGGGGGGGGGGGGGAGGAAACCGGGCGACCCTTTTTGAGGGTATATCCTAATTATTTCTTCGGATTCACAGGTTCACAATTTCAATGTTGTTGCCAATCACAAGCTGCCACGGACACACCGGCGTTTCAAATTATTGTTATAATAGTAGAATCCCTAATTAAGAAAAGAGTGGTGTAGGCCTATAGGATAAGGGTAAGGCGCGTTGAGTTGGGACAAAAAGATGGATTTGAAAATTCTAATGAAAGAAACAGCATAATGACCAGAGTGTCCCCGTAAGGGAGGGGAGGGAATAGTATGTTGTTAATCTTGGCGACTAGGACAATTTTAAATTTCAGAAGTTTAAACGACGGGAACTGGTAGGCCCCACCATCTCCCCAGCTCCCGTAGTTTTCCCGATTCATAAAGAAAGAAAGAAAGAAAGAAAGAATTAGTCTTGGGGAGTCTTGTAAGAGGGCGATAACGATGTTTTTGGAAGACGAGTTTTGATAGGATCCATGTGAGGAGGTAGCGTGGAATTTTAGACACTCACACACACAGACACGCACCCCCCCCCCTTTTGTGAGGTTGTTGTCTGTCATCTCCAACCCCTTTGGTGGTCCCCACACACCTCTCTCTCTCTCTCTCTCTGCGCCACGTTCTTTATAAACAGAGCGCTCTGTTTAATTACTTCCATATATGTGTCAAACTCGAACCAAAGAATGAAACACCCACTCATCTCTTCCCAGGCTCTTCGCTGTTGGATCGGTTTCTCACACCTCTGTCTTATCATCTCTCTCTCTCTCTCTCTCTCTCTCTCTCTCTCTCTCAGTTCTGGGCTTTCTGGCTTCATTCTCATTTCGAAGTCTCACGATTTCTGCAATGGACGCGCCTCACCACTTCTCGCTCATCTGCATATTCCATGCCAGCCAATCAGATCCATCAAATTGGCCTGCCCTTTTCCATCTGAGGAGGACGCGTTTCTGCAAATTCTATTTGACTTTCCAGTCATCAGTTGCCAAACCAATCACTCGTTAGAAGGTGAATTGAAGGAATCGTCAACCGGAGCTCATTTTCAGTTCATTAATAAACAGATGGCCGTGTCATGTCCTCTCTTCGGTGGGAATCAATGGTTGGTCCCATTACTGTAGCCTCCACTACATGCGCACCACACAGATAGGGACGGGCAAGAAAGAAGGAAGGAAGGAAAGGTAGATGTTGAGGCGAAGATTGGGTGGCAATTATTTATCGTGCGCTGATCACAACCAACATCTCACGCTCTATTGGTGAGAGGCTTGTTAATACCGACCCGATTCATGGGGCACTATAAATGATGGAGGAGCTACACGTTGTTGCCCTCATAATGATCCCATTTTCAAATGTCAATCCCCATCCCCTTGTCTTCTCAATTCCCCACTCTGCTTGTGTTGGTCCGATACCGTCAACATCACCCCTCGAAACAACTTCTCATCCTGGGGGATCATAATATTACTGTTCTTGCCTTGGTTTGTACACTCCGGTATTCTTCCTCAAAATATATATATATATATATATATATATATTACTTGGGTATTGATTTTGATGAATATATAGCATACCTTCAAAGGCTGTCCTTTTTACCTATCATTATTTTTGGGATGGCAAGGGTTGTACTTCATTTTCATTTCATTGCGCTTTTGTTAGCGCCGCTCCATTGAATGACATTTGCTTTGATTTGTTCTGCTAGTCAATTCGATTCACCAAAAATTGAATTTTTATTTATTTATTAATTTAATTTAATATGGTTGATTTGAGAACATGAAAGAATTGACGGTGCTGAGCGCGGCTGTGGTGGGCCAACATGGTGGGAAAAGTCAAAAGTTGATGAGCGCCGTCTGGTTATTTAAGAGACTTTTATTATTCAACAAAAATCCCTTAGACAAAATGTATGACCCTTAAAAATAATATTATAATAGATAAATATAATTTTTTATTCTCATACTATACTTACATTTTGTTTTTGATCTGTGTCCTTTTTAAATATTTAAAGTTTTTATACTTTTATTTTTTATTATTTTAAATGTCTAAAATACCAAAAAAACAATATAAGAATTAAAGCAAATTGTGAGTAAAATATAAAAATTAAAAATTATATTTACCCTGGTGTGATAATTATTTTTATATAAAAAGTAGAGCATTGTTTTGATTGTCTATTTATTTTGCGTGCCAGCCATGAGCCAACCCTTGGTTGGGGCATTCGGTAAAAGTCACTGAGGACCGATGCCCATGGGGCCTTCCTGGGTTAGAGCACAAAGAAGAAGGACGCGCCAATGTTGTCTTCTTTCGTTCATCTCTGTTCACTGTTCAGGCATATGCTACGGGACACACGCACGCAAATAAAGCGAATCTTTTCTTTTCCTAAATTACCATTCTACCGTTCACACTTCTCAAATTACATAAGCTTTCATTAATAAAAAAATGTGTAGTCTTTCTTGAGATAGAAGCTTGTTAAAATATTCTAAAAATGTTAAACTTCAAAAACTATATAACGAAAAAATAGTATGATAATGACCCTTTAATATGGTATTTTAGGTCGACACGGTTCCCGAATTATCCAATTTGGGAGGATATAATAGCTTAGGGCGATATTCAAGATAAAGCGATGATATTTAAGGAAACAGATAGGAGCCACGTGTAGGATACTTGCAATAAAAGGATGCACACGTTTCCGCAAACCAAGTTCATCTAAGCATCTTTGAAGGGGCCCCACACTCACCCTTTTTTAATTAAAATGGGGCCCGCACTCATTTTAGAACAGATGCAGCCATCACCTGCTGAATAGAATAAAAGTTTAACCTCACTTCTTTTGTCATCATTCTTCACTCATTGTCATTGACATGGCTTGAACCAAAATACGGAAATTTTTAATTTTGTCCAACCGTCAAAACTCTTATCATCATTACACTTAAATTAACCTAGAGTAACATGGACTGCAATCAGTATTTCACTGAATTTTGGTCATAACTTCTCTAAATTGATTCATTTAATCACCATCTCGTCCTTAACTCTCACGGAATACTCAATTTTGATTACTAATTACAACCTAAATTTCTTTATGTTGACAACCCCAGTTTGTTGTCATCGTGCTCATCAATTCCCATACAACACTCATCGTCCATATATCAACTTTACACAGGCTTCCAACATGATGTAAAACTTCAGATTATTACTCGATCTCAAACACTCTTAACATTAATTACAACTTCAGACTTACTAAAGTGGAGGAGGAAAATATTCCCTACATGTCTAACAGCATACGATCAGCCATTTCTAAAGTCAAGGCGAAACGAAGTTGTACTGCACGGGACAGAAGAGGGCCAGCAAATTTTGTGGCTAACTCTATTATATTCTCCTACAATGATGATTACATATTTCATGCTCTTCATATAGATATGTCAAAAGATGCTTCCTGCTCCTCTCTCTAGTCTAATAACATAATAGGATGAAAGGAGAACAAATAAGAGGAGAAAGAAAATGCCAGGAAGACTTCCATTACGAATGCAAAGGAAAGGCGGTTCTTGCCTTCCTTTCCTCCACCAACTTGTTTCATCCTTTCATGCTATGCTCTGCCAACAAGTACGTGTTCAAAAGCAATTTCGCCCCACGTCAACCACCTCTCCAAAGAACAAAAAGAATTTTGATTAGACTTCAAGATCACCCTCGTCAGATTATAAACACAAGTGTACAAAGATTACTACACACACTTCACTTCAGGCACATTCCATATAGTTCGTCAGACTTTCCGTCCAAAATTGTGAAGTCTCTTCGCTAATTCAATTCACATATCACGAGGCCCTGGTTTGCTCAAAGTTGCACCTTCCATCTCTTCCGCATGCGCGCATGTTGCAAAATGGCGTGAACACGTGAGAAAGACATCGTCTTCCACTCCTCAGGTCGCTTTTCCGCTTCGTTACCCACATGCACAGTGGTGGAGTAAACGACCAACGATATCATCCTACTCACCTGCAGGTTGTTTCTGCTCTGCTGGCTTCACTTGAACTGCAGCAGGTACAGCATAAGGAAAGCCCGCAACAAACTGGTGGTGGTTTCCAGATTGTTGTGCTGCGGCGAAGTGTGCCGGATGCATGAAACCACCACCTTTCAAATTACTGGCTGCAGCTGCAGCGACCTTAGAAGAATCAGTAGAGCTGGCATTAACGATTGTAACTGAAGGACAGAAGGATAGCATGCCATTAGAAGAAGTGCCTGATGAGCTTTGTCGCTGCATATGTGAATCAGGGCCACGTCTTTGAAGGTAGTAGCCACTTGCAGCTGAAGTTGTAGAGGTGGAACTACCTGATTGTGAAGCTTGGGGATTCATATAAGCATTTGAGAAGAATAGCTGTGCCGGATGCAATGCTTGCTTTGATGTTTGCTGCTGCTGCTGTTGCAGCAATTGGGGTTTCGCCCCAGTGCCAGAAGATGGAATCAGCTGAGACCCACTGAGGATTGATGGAACATTGCTCCCACCAACAGGTGAGGACTTCCGACTTGGCACTGCTTGTGAACTTTTAGGTTGCTGAGTCGATAACGAAGCCTGGCCAACCTTATTGCCAGCTGATGTTGATGCTGTCCGTGGGCTACCCCCACTTTTGGAAATTGAGGAAGTCGTTGGTGAGCCAGCCATAATTGGAGGAGATGGAGAAGGTGTGGAGCCTGAAGACTGCCCTTGGGTGGTTGCCGAGGATTTAATATTTGTTGCAAAAGATATTTGTGCGTGAGCTTGCTGAGGTCGAGCCTGCTGCTGAGGAACAGTTTTAGCTGATGGTGTCGGTGACATGGATGGAGGAGACTGAGAAGTAATTGGCCTCACAGAATTCTTCCACCGAGGTGACTGAGCAGCAGTGGTGCTGCTTTGAGCAAGGTTTTGAGGATATGCAGTGGTAAACTTGGTGGCCACCGAAGAGGCAGAAGAAAGGTGATCGGCATAGACATTCCCATTACTTGTGGACGGTGTCTTATTTCGTGAAGCAGCTGTTGTCAATTGATGCTTTGGAATCTGAATTGGTTGCTGCTGCTGCTGGTTTCGCTGCATCTGCTGCTGAGAACTGACAGTACTGCTGTTGAATGTAGTAGGCATGCCAGAAGCCAAAGCACGGGACGCAGCAGAACCAGGGTTGAGAGTTCGGGCTGAGCTATCAATGACAGTGTTACCTGCAATTGCAGATATTGAGGGATCTGACACCTCCGACCCAGAGAAAACAATGGATTGTCCCACGTTTGCAGGAGCTTTTCCTGCCATTGCTTTCCTATCTTCATCTGGATTACAAGAATCACCTCCAGTTTTCCCCTCTTCAGAGACCCGATAATTTTTCTTATGCTGAGCAGCTTGAGCTGCCATCATTTGAAAGTTTTGAGTCTGCATAATTGGATGGTTCTGGGCGATAGGTGAGAGGTCAAGGCCAGTGGCAGTAGCAGCACCATTAACGGGCGCAAATGATATTGCAAATGCCTGAGAAGCTTCCACTCCAGCCTTTGTACTAGTATGCTGCTGTTGCTTCTTTTCACTGTGACTGCCATTAGCACCAGTAGCAGCGCCTGCACCACCAATTGACGCAGGTGTCATCACAGCAAAATTTGGCGGCTGCATTGGCATTGCAAAGTTGTGGCCATATATATTCATGGGAGCACGAGAGAGCCTACTATCTGCAGTAGATGGGCTATCTTCACCACCCAACTCAGACTCAACTTGGCGTGAAGGATGAGAAGCATGATGATTGGGTAGATGCTGCCTCTGTTGCTGCTGCTGCTGCAACTGCAGTGACTGTGATGGCTGGGTTTTGGATGAGGCAGGGAAACCTTGCAAGCTTCCACCGCCACTGGTGCCACTAGCATTAGGCTTTTGTTGCTGCCTCTGCAAATGCTTTTGGGAAGATGATGATCCACCAGACATATTTGTGTTTTGAAGACCGTGTTGATTTTGCTGGGATTGGGCTGGAAGTTGATGCTGCTGAAGCTGTGAAGGGTGGAGCATTTGAGAAGAATAGAAAGAACCATTGAAGAATGGCATGGCTTGGGCATGGGTTCCTCGATAAGCAGGTGGACCACCAACATGTGCTGGTATTGGAAATGGGTATGCATTATTCTGCACAATTGCCAAGTACTGAGTTTCATTGCCAGGCATATTAGGGTAGCTGAAGCTCATTGTTGGCGCAGCAGCAGGCACCGTAGCGGAAGCATTTGCCGAGACTGCACTAGATGTACTAGATGATGATACCCCGGTGCCTGTAGCAGGCAGAGACTTCACAGATCCAGGTCTAACAGACGCCGCCGCCGCAGCAGCTGCCGCCTGCTGCTGGTTCAGCGGGAAGATGAAAGGACATTGCTGGAAATTACGAAAAAGCAACAATTGGCCCAATTATAATTCATTACTAAAAAAAGAGCGCGCGGAGAAATAATAGCAAATGATCAATTAAAATTGGAAATATCTTAGGCAACTACCACCGGAAAAGCAAACAAATCGTACCAATATATTACTAGGTGCTCCTGGGGGCATTGCTTGCTGGAGCAATATTTGCTTCCTCTGTGCATTCTCGATGTTGGCATCTTGAGAGCCTTTTTCCTTCCCAAGATGACCTGGAAATATGGCAGGACTGTGCCCTTTGTCTTGAGCAGAGTTTGCAGTCCGGCTGACAATATTACCTTGCAATTCGGTAGAAGGTACCATGCTGAGATTGCAGGCCTTAGCACCATATAATGATGAAGAACCTGCTGCTGCAGCCCAGAGTGGACTCATCCTTGCAATGCGTTGGTGATACGATATAGTGTGAGCAATGTAACAATGGGTGGCACATCTCTTGGGCCGAGGCTGATTGAAAAGTAGATGAGGCGGCTGAACATATCAAAAATATTGTATAGACTTCAGTGAGCATGTTTTTGACAATTAAAAAAACAGAAAAAGAAAAAGAACTTGATTCACCAAAGATGAAAGGAAAGCGCACATACTGGTATGGCTGGGGAAGATACGGCGGTGGATACAACTCCTTGTAGAGGCGTCATATATCTGCTAAGGAGAATATAGTCAAACCCCAGTAGAAAAGAAAGAGAGCAACAGAACACTAACACCGCTAACAAGCGTTAATAACAGAAACAGATAAGCATTAACCCGGCCGTACCCCATAGGAGGAAGCCCGCCCGACCAGCTGGGGAAAGAGATCGGCAGAGGCATAGAGCTGGCTTGAACTGTAAGAAAAGAAAAAATACGCATGAACGACCCGGATGAACAAATACAGAAAGCGGGAGACACAGTAAAAATAATAATAATAATAAACTGGGCATACCAGCTTTCTCAGAGTTCGGCTGCTGCGGCTGCCTCTGGGCGTTCTGCTGATGCCTCTTCCCAACCATATTGCCACTGGCACTATCTTTATCAGTCTTCTCTAAATCAATCCGCAGGTCGCTACACCTTTCCTTCTGAATATCGGCTGGTTTCAGTGAATTGGTATCGTCCGCCGCAGCTCTCTTCTTATCGGTTCCCACAGCCACGGCCTCATCCTTGCTCATTTTCTGTGATTTCTCATCTTCCTTTACCATTGGCTTCGCCTCCTGCGTGCACCAACAGCCAATAAATTCATTTCGCCTTCAGCAACAAAAGACTTTGTAAGAATAAAACGTGATATAGGTTCGACCCACTTACCATTTCAGATTCTACCGCCAACGGCTGCGGATCCCCAGCCGCTAAATCAATCTCCACATCTCTTTCTGGAGAAGATCTCAATGGAGGAGGTGGCGCCTACACAATCCATGGGAAAAGGAAAATTTAAAAAATAAATAGAAAAAAATAGGAAGTTGGAATTTAGAAACTTCAACGCGGAAAATAGGAACACACCATCAGATCTATCGGGATCTTCCCTTCCCGCTGGCTCACACTCTCGGCAATGATTGGCTTCCTGCAAAACCAAGAAAATCAAAATGAAAAACAAAGTTTTGCATTTCAGAACAAACCCACCAGAAGCTCAGCAGAGGAGCGAAAGACGAGTTTATGATGCTCACGCTTTTGACGCTTTCAAATCCTCGGAGTCGTCGCCTGATTTCGGCACAATTGATTCCTTCTTGGGGGACCGAGGCTCCTCCTTACTGAATCCCGCATCTGGCCTTTCCGATTCTTCCGTTACCGGCTTAGAATCCAACGACATGTTGCTTTCCAATTTAATTGACTCCGGTTGAGGCTTCGATGGCGGAGGAACGACTTGGGAACTGGGTAAGCTGCATGAAAAACCGCCTTTTTCGGACGCAGATCCGACGGTTTTATCGAAATTTGGCGAACAAGTTTCGACTTTAGAAGTCTGATCACTTTCGGCCTTCGAGGTCGATGCAATGGGGCCATTCCGAACGGCGATATTCGTCGGATTTTCACCCTCATCCTTCGCGGGACGCGGTCTTTTCCTTTTGGGTGCTGCTGCAGAGTACAATGAAAAGCACATGTAAGTTTCTTCCGTCAATAAACAGATAGACAGCGATGTTCTTCCATCACCTCCATTTTTTGCCGACCGTATGGCAGTAAAAAATGTAGGAAAACATCAGAAACCAATTGAGCTTTGAAAGCTCGAAGAACCCACCAACAGCAGATAAGGGGGTGATCGATTGTGAGATTGATGACGACAGAGGCGGTGCAGATTGAGAGTTTGAGATCGGTGAAGATACCCTTGACTTGCCGTCACCGGAAGATTTGCTAGTGTCCCGGGAATCGAACTTCAATAAGTCATTCGCCGACGGTTCTTGTTTGGAAATCCCTTGAGGCCGTCTCAACATATCGTACAAGACTTCGGCGATCTCGATCTCGATCTCATCCTGAGCTGAAGAAGGTTTGGATGCTGACTTTGGGGGTCGATGCTTGGGTCCACTGGGCTTCTACAGAAGAAAATAGAACTCGTTAGTATGGCAATCCCAGGACCAGCAAATCACAAGACAGCGAGAGAAATCGAAGAACAGCAAGAACTCACTATCTTCTTGCGAACCGAAGCGTTAGACGAAGACGGCGATGCCGGAGATGGAGAAGGTCCCATCCCCGTTGTCGTTACGCTTGTTCTCACGGGAGAAGTTGACGCTTGCCGGTGAAATTGCTCCCCTGCTATTCCACCATTGGAAGCCCAACATTCATGCAATCTCTTCGTCGACGCTGAGAAGAGAAACAAACGGGGAAGGAACGTGTTAAAGTCTCAAATTTTGATCATCAATTTCAACAGTCAATTCGATTACTCCTCATCCGAAGCACTCTAACCTGACCGTGCCCTCCGTGGAACCAACACCCCAATCATCTCATCGGCGGCCTTCCAAGTCGACACCGCTCTAAAATCTTTCGCCGGAGGAAAGCTCTTCCGATGGTTCGACAAGGACGAGGAAGATAACGATGATGGGTTGAGCGGAAGCATTCTTACTGAACCACCGCCAACATCATCATCCTCGTCTTCTTCGTCATCGTTAACACTCTCCTCCGAGCTATCTTCTCCACCATCTTCTCTATTGTTGCTGTGCATCAACCTATCCCCTCTCCTCCTCTTGGTGCGACTCGATCGATCCCTCTCGCGCTCTCTGTCTCTGTCTCTGTCCCTGTCCCTTTCACGATCTCGATCCTTTTTCCCAGTCCCTCGATCTCTGAGCCTGGTCGGCTCCGGAAGCTCCACCGGTCCATCTTCCTCTGCAAGTGAAAAAATTTATATATTAATAGGGAAGCCGACAGAAATCAAGGAACGAGAAACGGGGTTTCGTTTTAAATTAAGAAGACAAATATAAATTGGAGAGAGTTTAGATCTGATGGAATCACCGGGTGAGTCTCTGAAAGTGTGAGTCCTGTGTCTCCTTCTGGACAAACCATTGGCAGCCATAGTATTTCTCCTACCTTCTCTGTTTCTGTCCATTCGACGCTCTGAGTCTGTGACACCACCGAATCATCCACAACCACAAGATTCACCTCATCTTTCATGAGGAACAATAATCAGCGGTTAAGAAGATCAAGGGCCACCAAATTGGTAAGTGAATTGTGTAAAGGGAAGAAGAATCGTGTAGGAGAGGAGGCTGCCGCTGCTGCTTATCTTGAGCGTATGTGTTGTGCGTCGCTGCTGCTCCAGTGCTGGTTCTCACCCCTTTCCTTTCGCCACTCCTCCTCTTCTCTTTTTATCATGCTCCTATCTCCTCACCATCATCTTCTGTCTCCGCCCAAAGCACCTCCCGAGCCTGCTGGGCGGTCACGATTCGCGGTTTGTTTACGTGTTCTCATCCCCACCGTCTGTCTCGTTCACGAGGCAAACTCCATGATTAAGAAATATAGAATATTTTGGGGGCCACGTCAGAGTGGGCCCGCTGTGGAAATGGTTGACCCACCGCAAGGGATCCTTTGTCCCGCCTTGCGAGCTCTCTCCCTGCCTTGTCGTTTAGGGGGTACTTTCATTCTCTCCCTCTGCCACGTGTTCCTGCTACGTCAGCTCTTCTCGCCTACGTGGCTTCCTCCGTGACCGTGCACCCAAAGAAACCCTAGCCGTCACAACAGCCAACTCCACTCTCTCCCGCAAGTCCCCAGCCCTCCCGCTTTTCATCTTTCCGTTTCCATGCACATCATTTCGGTAAAAGATCCTGATTTACTTGGATCACATTAATTTAATTACAATTTCATCATAAACTTTTTATATTTTACTTTAGACGAAATTTGTTAATAATAAAGAATAAAAATATATTGCGCTTCGTATGCTTGCTTTAATTGACTGGTTATAAAAAGAATATAGCCACTTCATCCGTCAAAGCAATAGAATACAATAACTTTATGTGTAAATACATCCGAATCATATTCAAATTGTAAATAATTAACAAAGAATAATAAGATTTGTTCCCAAATGCAACGCGGTATTACGAATATCTTTAACATGGTTTGTTCGAGTATTTATTAAAAAATAAATAGTAAAATCAAATATTTATTATCCTTTATTGTTATTGGCATTTCTTTACTTAAAATAAAAGGATAGGTAGGTTAAATTTTTATAATCGAAGCTAACTTACTCGATTATAATTTAAAATTAAATTTTATATGTGTATAATTTAAAAGTGAATTGGGTGACGAGATGATGATATTGAATAATGTTTAATATATGAATAAAAAAATGAACAAGAGATCATTCAACATTTTCACGATGATTACAATATGCAGTCTCCTTAAAAAATGAACGAAAGGTGCGAGTCTCGGATTAAATTAAATAAATCTGATTACTTCTTGTCTCTTGTCGTTTTAATAAGACGAGATGGGTTTAGGGATAAGAACGGGTGCATGGTGCTGTAAAATTAAATAGACAAAAATGTGTGGTTTTTTGGCTTTAAACGCGATGGGTTGAGCGCAATAAAATAATGGGAATCAGATAATGCTCAAAACACAAAGAAAGAAACAATTTTATAACAAGTCCACTAGACCACTACCACATTTAGCGATATCTAATCAAATCTTATTTTATGGCTTAACTCAGCATTCATCAATCCACTTTCTTCATTATTTTATGAGCTACTGTTTTTTTATATTAACAATAATGGCCAACATCCTCGAATTGTTTATCATTCTCGTATAATACTCCGCTTTCCATCTTAATTTATTCTGTCTACAACCCTACGGAACCATTTTCTACTGGCCCAGCCAAGCACTTAGTTTAAAGGACACCTTCAAGTGCCATCATTAAGTAAATTTTACCGACAAATAATTTAACTACATAGTCGGTGAGCAAATTTTAATTTCCCTTACCCCAACAAATTTTAATTTAATCCTCAGCGTTTCGAAAAAGACAACGCGCAGCCACCTTAATGTTATAAGTTCCGATTAGAATATTGTTAAATGTATTAGTTTTCTTTGGGTCTGTTTTAAGTTAGAATAATGAGCTTGGTTTTTTGCACCTTACGATCACACCTATGTGGGTTTTTTGACATAAAATAATTGAGAACAACATTTGTAAGTATGAAAAAAATAAAACTTAAATCTAATTTATGGACTTTGATGGAAGAAAATGGACTTTATAATAATCCGTTTCTGAAGAATGGGTTTGGTTTTGATCTTCTCTGCCCTGTCTTATTTTTAAAGAAGGCATACAATTGAATTGATATAATTTTATTTCTCTTGATTTTTTAATTGCACGAGATTGTTGATTTTTAATGTCATTGAGTTTCTTTCTTTCTTTCTTGGCATCATTTAAACCGAGATTGGATGATAGATCCGATGTTATAAGATTTGGATTCTCTTATACTAATTTAAGAAATTAGGTTGGAAGATAGATAGAAATTGGTGGGTCACATATATAGGTGAGATTCATTTTTTTTTCCCAAAAAAAAAAAGTCTCTCTTCATTAATCTGTACTCTTATGCTCGGAGGGAACCCTCCGATACCTAGTTGGAGCTTCAATTCAAAATAAAGATTTGTTATTCATAATTTGGATAGTATGTGTAGATGTACAGTTTCTTGTTGTTAAAATAAAGAAAGAAAGCATTATATTGGAGATACTGTGATGGCAATGTGTCGTGGGCAAAATGCGACAGAAGCAGGGTGGTAACAAATTGGATGATGTCCATGTTGCAGCGAGGGGGCCAATGGTAGAAGGAAAAATGGATGAAAAGGAAATGAAAATAATGAAATAATAAAATATTTTAAACAATGATTAATTTGACAGTGATGGTAACACCATGTAGAAAAAGTGCGGATTTCAACATTTCACTCCCGTTTTTCTCTCATCTCAGTCAATTTTCGAAAACATTCATGGGTCGGAACAAGGCACTATGTCAAACCACATGGACATTCATGATGGCTAGCTCGGGTTTTTGGAGGAAAAAGTGCTGAATAAAAGCATGTAAAAATAAAAAGTTCCAAACAAAAATGTTGAAATAATTGTACGATAAATAATATTATTTTAAAAAAATATGAGTAATTTTACATTGTCTTTTAATAATATCAAGCCAGGGAACCAATTTAAAATTTAAAACGAGATTTATAGGGAGGCGTGTTACCAAATGCAGATAGTAATGGTGTTTATAAAGTCAGCTTATTACCCGAGACGTGTCAATCAAATCCACCCCGTGGAATGAATAAATATTAATATTCATAAAAGAAATAGAAAAATAAAAATTGTACAAGTAAACTTCAAGCGGAGATATCAGGCAGCATGATGCTTATGGCCTGGCATGGGCATGGCTGATTGTGGCTCAACATGCCTCGACAAGATTAGAGTAGAAAAAACGAGCTAGCGGCCACCCATAACAGATCAGTCAAGGCCTGAGCCTGAAAACCCTAATTTTGTTATGCTTAACTGTTTGTAAACTTGATCCTAATAATCACGGCTTATGGCCAATGCTCGTAAGTTCTCATTTGTTTAAGATGCCACATGATCAACAACTCACAATTATTCTTACACAATACAACAGGAATAAACACTATCCTGCTAGGAGGGGCGGAACTAAAGCTGCAGGTGAGAGGGGGCCAATTTTATAAGAATAAATATTTATTTGATTTTCTAATTTTAAATATTTATTATCAATATAATTTTAAACCATTTTTTAAAACAATTAAATTTTTGGTCCCTCGGATCTATATTAATTATCAATTTAGTTTCTAACCCTACTTGTCATCAGCAAATACACATTTACTAGTTAATGTCCTATAAATCACTTGTCAATTTTTTAACTAACCTTGTTATTCACCCATAGCATACTCATCACTAGTCACTCGAAAATAGTTTTTTACTTGTTAATGTCAAGTACATTGCTTGTCAATTTTTTAAGTGCACTTATTATTGTCCTACATCCTACTTGTCAATAGCATACACTTATTTAGCAGTTAATTACTCTCTTATTGAATTTCTTATTGTCCTACCAGCATATATACATTACATACAATCAATTTTAATTCACAACCAGAACCACCACATGATTTTCTCATTTCACAAATTTTTATAAGCAGCAATAAAAGGAAGGGAAAACGAACCTGGTGGCATGAAAAGATGCAAAGAAAATGCAAGTGATGCAGGATCTTTGGCAGCAAGTACAGCCAATAATTGTGAGAAAAACACAAGTAAGAGTTTTTATTTATATGCAAATAGGGCAATCAAATAAGTGAATAAATGAAAGGATGAAGAGCGATCATAACTTAGGTCTTTGAAGAAATGTTGACTCACTCAAAGACATCAACCATGCTCAAGATGATGATTTACTGATTCAAACCCTAACAAGATGTGAAGTCACTCAAAAACAATAACTTTAGAAAAGATGAGAGAGTGGAAGAGATTCACTTAATAATTTATGAAGAGGTTATAGTACGAGATGAGAGAAAGAGTTAGATAACTAGTTTTATGTAGAGTGGAAAATTTCAATTGTGTCTTCAAATTCAAAACAGGGGTATCTATCACATGTGAAAATAGACTAAATATTTTCTCTTTTCTTTATTTTTTTCTTTTTTAATCAGTTAGGGGCAAATGGGTTATTTTAATTTCATCATTATTCACCCTTAAAGACCAAGAACTTCAGAATAATTTCCTCTATTTGAGGGATCTAACTGTATTTAAATTTTTTTTTTTACAAGACCTCATTGTAATTTTTTTGAAAAAATACTCATAAAAAAGTTGTGGCCGATGGACATTAGGAATTCGTCCGGAAGGCGGTATGGTCCAACTCATCATCATCACACTTTTATTTATACGCGCAAATCTGACCCTCCCCGGCTCCCCCCAAAAAAAATAAATAAAAAACGAAGTCCACAAAGGCGGAGAAAGCGTGTAGTTTCACAATTAAATAATTCCAAAAATATATTTTCATGGACAGTGAAACCAGCCTCTTCATCCTTTCCCGCCACAAAAGGTCCGTTTGTTTTTCACAATTTTATTTTTAAAAAGTTAAAAATTATTTGATTAAAATATTTTATAAAAAAATACATCTTAAAATACATTCAAACAATAATTGATAATAAATTTTTAAAATATAATTATTTTAAATTTTTAAAAGATGAATTTAAAAAATAAAATGTTATTTAACTATATTACTCTAAATTTAATATTTTATTTTTATTTAAAAATAATTAATTTATTAAAAATATAATTATTATTTTAATAATAATAATTAGGCATCACGTTTTTAACATTTTAAATTAAATAATTA